CTCTTATATCGATTTAAAATTGTGGTAAGTGCTTTGACCCAAACAAAGAACTAGATGATTTGCAAAGTTAAACCTTTTTGTCTTATTTTTTTTAAATCATTATTTTAAAGTAAACCAAATAGTGACATTTTTTGGTAAAGTGTACTTGCACAAAACTAATAGGAAAACATTCTGCCTTTGCAAAAGTTGGCATGATCTACAGCAATCATCATTTTCCTTATTGCTTAAAGGACAAAGCTCAGCCAGAGACACAAGCCACCAGTTTTGGAAATGTCCTGTTTAATGCCAAACTAGCAGTGGATGACCCAGAAGCTATTCTCTTAGTGAATCAGCCTGGATCTGATGGATTTAAAATTGACTCAACACCACTCTTTCAGGTAGGCCAAACACAAGCTCACTTATAATAGCTATGTATGCAAGTATGTATGTCTGAATGCAAGTTATTTAACATTTCTATGCCTCAGATGTCTCATTTATAACTGGCAGTAACAGTAATATTACATGTAGTTAATGGGAACATTGAATAAGATGATGCATATTAACCATACAGCAACATACTGGGTAGATAGTGAGCATTCTGTAAACTCTAGCTATCATTGATTTTATTAATGTATTAATATTATTTTAAGACTATGTGTGATAAAGATTCTTATTCAGCCCAGAGTATAATTCTAAGTCTGACAGTTGAGTAATTTGCTTTTCTTACTCAAAATTTCCTTCCTGTTGACTTTTCACGGTCATCTTTATAAGAGTGATCTTGTGTAGACTGCTAGACCCAGAAAAGCAATTGTGTGCAGCACACAAAATCTCCACTCCCAAAGATAGAAAATCCTGACCCAGACATAGAAGATGGAGAGATACACAGGCAGCCATACCAAGGCTGCGCAGACAAACACGACAAATTAGAGATGTGTTTACATTGTGAATCCTTGGAGGAGCAAGTTCACCCTTTAGGATATTTACTAAAAATCACCAAGACAGAATGGACTGGAGAAATGTGTTATTCTTATTCAACCTAAGGAAGGAATCTTAAGAAAGCCTATTCGTTATTCTGAATCTTTCCAAACAAGAAATTGAAGTATGATCTTTTTTGTTTTCATTTTTACCATTAACTCTCAAAGCATCTGGTCTATCTAAATCCCGAGTGCTTCAGAATCATCAGAAAATTCTTCCTTTTCCCAGGCCCCAAAAAACATGAAAACTGATTTTTTTTTT